CAAAGTATGCCATAGCACAGCCCAAGAATTCAGAATGCCACATTCACAAAGTGATTTATCAAAACCCACTGCTTCATCAAAGACATTCCCAATCATGTATTCTTCCTTCATCCCATCTTTCCTGAATCAAGAAGAGGAGATGAGAGGCTCTGAAAAACAAAGATATATCTGGGCAAGAAATCATCTGAAAGAATTCAACAGCCTACAACCAATTACAATCAGCTACTGAAGCAACCTGAAACAAACCCATATTCTTATATTTCCTTTCATGCCCATTTGAGCCACGCTAGTCACATCAGTCCAATGCTGGAACCACCAGAAACAAAGGCTGCCATCCAGCAAGCCCGTGAGCAGGCATGATCAGAAACACTGGGAATAGCAAGTCATCCATCATGGACTGCTGGAAAAACTTTCCAGCAATTATGAATTCTCTGCTCAGTCTGTTCCAAGCAGCCAGTGCCTGTCAGTCTTGCCTGAAGCAGCTGGTCATAGTGCAAAGTCTGTCCTACCATCACCCCATTTCTGAACGCCTTCTTTCAAAGCGAGAAGGAAGACAACGACTTTTGGTCAATAACTCTGACAAAGCCATTATCCTTGGGGTATTTAATGGGGAGATAAAAACTTCAGGGCTTTGCACAAATCATATTAGTTCAATGCTCAAATCCGGGTAATGCTTCTTTTCAAAGTATTAATTTCATTTATTCTATTTGCTCTCCCTCTGTCCTGATAACACAAGTGCACATGGCCTCTAAATGAGATCCTCCTATTTTATAAGTTATAATCCTCCCTTTCTAGGACAGTAATGAGATGTCTTCGCTTAATCGCGTTTATTCACCCCCCAGCTTCTGCTTTTATCCATCCCCATTCCACATTGATTTGTCTTAAAGGTTTCAGTGAAAACCATCAGGCACAGAGTCCCTGGCTCCAAGAGGCTCCTGATGCATATCCTGCACATGCTGCTCAACCTTCAGGGATTACAAAAGCAAAAAGGAGGAAAAAGAGCAGCTTTGTTTGCAAAATTTCCTTTATTGGTAGGAAGGAGGGGGAAAAAAAAGAAACCCAAAAGAACTGAGAAGTTAAGGGAACAAGTTTTGATTAATTGGAAATGAAATAGGAAAGATTTCTTGCATAGGGGAATGGTGAGACTATTCACAACATAGTCAAGCAATTAAATAACTTGACTGACAACTTTGCAAGTTCCTCACGACAGAAATAGAAAAGGATTTAAAGATAGCTGTTTTAATTCTTGGGTATTTCACATGAGACTTAGGGCATGGCACCAGCATTAGTCAGACACCCTAGGCCTTGCTCTGAAACACTGTACATATAATCCTTGTTGTGTTGTAAGTACCCACAGCATTAAATTACTCCAAGAGTCCATTCAGCACCATGATTCTGAAGCGTTGCACAAACAAAAAAAAACCCATTTTATCTCTAATACAAATTGGGGAGAGTTCTTCTACAGCAGCTTAGCAGACTACTTTCATTTGAGCCAGTCCCCAGGGTTAATCAAAAAGCCATATCCACTCAAAGAGGAAAGTGAATGTTGCACTATTACTTACAGAGCTGGTTTTTTTCTTAAACTAAAGCTGTAAGGAGTTTTACTCAAAACCTAAGGAATTTAGAAGCTAAGTACCTTGTTCGAAGTCATTAAAAGAAAAAGAAAGGTCATGACGAAAATGTAGAAAAGGAGCCAGGTATTTAACTCTAAATCCCTCTTGAAACCAGAAACTTCAAGGAGAAAAAAATTAGCTAAATAAAATATACAAACCACAATAAAATAACAATAAGTTTTAATCTGCACCCTGCCCTATAAACAATCCAGTAACTGGCCCCAGAAGCTGACAGCAAGTTCCATATCAAAGGTTAATTCTAGTCCACCCTCTCTTTGTGTGCACCATATAATAACACTGAAGTACTTATAGCAATATTTCCAATAACAAAAGTCAGTGAGTGAAAGCTAAAGAATAGATTAAATGACATGCAATGTTCAGAACAGCCACAATGAAATCACTTCAAAATACAGCTATGGTACTTGGATTTATGTAAGTGGTATGGTTACAGGGGAATGTTCCAGCACTGCAGCAGACAACAAAGGACTACTAATCACTAAACTATTGCTATGTTAAGAGCACAGGGAAGTTCAAGATCTTAATGCAACTACTAAAAAAATGAATAAAATTTTCTAATTACATGTGGCATAGTTTTCAACTTTTACCAAATTAAGTGCTGCTTAAGAAGCAAATTATTCATTTGTTATTTCTTTCATGGGAGTTGTCCAATTTTTAATCTCATTTCCCTAATAGGTCACAACTACAACAAAAACAACCCTGGAAGTTTCTCTCTTATAAATGTAAGCAGATAATTTCCATTGCTATCTGCACCTGGATTACCACCAGATACCTTGAGTTCCACTACTGTCTTCTACCTGAAAGAGAAGATTGACACAAGACATGGATGAGCAGCTCATATCCAGTATTTTCCCTGTTTGCTGGGGCTAAAAAACAGAAGAGCAAGAAATACTCAAGCCCTATTCTAGAAGACAAAGGACAGACATAGTTTGAGCAGGACTGAGTCAATACAATAAGGGTAACCATGACCAAAAGAAAACTGCAGCTGAGATAAAGCAAGTCTGATAGGGATCCCAATAATTTAAGTCTGCCCACAACAGTTCCTTTTTAGGAGGATATCTAGAAGCTGACAAACAATAGCTCTCTCCTCATCTTTGCAAGGACAGACTAGACTATCCCATTTTTTAAGGATCCTAAATTTATGACTGATCAAGAGATAGTTAAAGAGCAATGAAACATAACAGTTTTTCATTCTTCCACCACATTCTGGGCTAACACACTGTGGTCACTATTTATCACAAGGGGACCCTAATCAGATTTTTGCAGAGCATAGTATGGGTATGCAACACTACAGGATTGAAAGCTAATTCAGATAATAAAACAGCTTTTCTATGTGAACAGTCAGGTCCCTACACATTTTAGAGGTGTCCTCTTTGCATTTCACAAATATTGCATGACTCTGTTAGTCACATTTCTTCAGGATTACACTACACCTCATTGCAGTAGGACAGGCCTCTACTTGAGCAGTCATATCTTTAGACTGGACAACAAATCCACCAACAACTTCTTCCCCTTGCTCTTGGAGAAGCCAGTTAATTGCATTCATAAAGAGAATATTGTCTCTCTAGTGAAAAGAGTGTTAATACTGCACCTGCTGACACAAATGTCCTTTGCAGAGCAGCAACAGTCACCAGCCTCAGACAGCACTGCTCTGAAGCTCAGCAATTATCCAGCACCCCATGGTCAGGATACAATCTGCTAAGAGGAAATTTCCTGCCACACAGCAGCCATTCACAAGCTATATCTATCTAGGAGAGCCATCTCAGACACCTACCAAGCCAATCATACACTAATTTTATCATGGAGACAAAGTACAGTTGGGTCCAAAACCCCAAACAGATCAATTCACAGAAGAGAATTTCCTTAAAGACTGTTAACCACCAAAGTGAAAATACAACCTCTTGCTTTCAAAGCCTCTAAGTCTTAGAACATTAGCATTTCCAAGGGTATAGGTGGGAAATATTCTTATATACCTGCTCTGTTCTCATGGTCTCCATCAGCAGCTGCTAAGGATCACTGTTAGAGATGGGCTACAGCTATAAAGACCTTTTCTTTGAACCACTGTCACCATTCTTACATAAATTATTTATTCAGTCCCCAAAAATATCTTTATATTATAACCTCTAAATGCTTCACATTTTGCCTGGAGAAGCCAGGCCTGTTAGCATTTAACATATTAAAAAAACCTCACAGGATTCTTCACTTAAATCAAGTACACATTGGTTAAGCTACAGATCAGTAGGATGAAAGAACCACAATAAAGACTATCCATACTCCAGTCTGTCCTTTCCCTAAGCCATCCTTTCAGTATGCACCAGGCAAGGAGAATTCTCTTGGTCTAGTTCTCTCAATAAAGTTTTAACAGTGCAGTTTAAAGGAATGAGCAGTTGGATCTCACTGTGGCAAGCATGGCCATACCTCACTGTCACACTCTGACATCACTGCAGGTCAGGAAAAAGTGGCAGCTCCAGTAAGACTCTGCACTGGTTACAGACAGTACACCATTGCCATAGGGATGGCAGTATGTAAAAGAAAACAATATAAAATAGTATCACATGAATATTAAGCACCAATGACAATCCCAGTCTACTGCAGTGATTGATAAAAGCTTTTTGCTCTATTCAGCCTCATCTCACTGTACTTGTGCCTCCAGCACAGCTCTTCTCAGCACTGGTATGACAGCAACCTAATGGGTCATCACAACACCAAGGTGCCTGACTAAGAGTAAAAGCTGCAGCAAGAAGTCCCCAAAAGTCAGTCTGCCTGCTGGGCAAGAACAAATTGGTTTGGGAGTCAGTGGTGTGTTCAAAAAAGGGTTTATGCTTTCTGGGCCCTAAAAATCAATCTAGACCTTCCTCAAAACGTTGCAATACTTGACAGTTTTACAACAGCTCTTCTGTTACCAGATTTATAAAAGACTCAAACAAATGAAAACATGATTACTTTTTATCAATTTGTGTACATGCACTATTATACCCTAGAAAAAAAAAACAAAGCAAAGTCTCAGGATATATCAGGTCAGCAGAATTTGATCCTGTATATATTGAAACATTTATTTCATACACTTGAGAGTTCAGAAGAGTTCTCTGAAGCTAGACAAGGACAACATAAACACACACCCCATACTCCCTGCCACTGGTAAAGCTGCACAGCCATTGTTCATGCCTTGGCAGCACAGAGTGACATGCTGCAAATGGAGCTTGCAGCTGCACTGTGAGCCAAATGTTAAGTGATGAGTGAGGAGAGGAATGTTTCAGCCTAAATCCAAGTTTCTAAGTTCATCACACAAGTGACAATAAATGAATGCCCTCAAGCAGAGCCATTTTAGCCTGTGCAGGTTGGAAACATAGCAGGGGGTTTGTTACTCACCAGCTGGGCTGCTCTCTGCCTCTCCACAATAATGCTGTTCCTTGCCTTAGCCTCACTGGCTGCTTCCCTTTCTCTATTGGCCAGCCAGAGCAACTCCTCTTGGACCAGTGTCTGTTCTTCCACATACCTGTATGAGCATCAAAAGCAGAGAGAAGGTTATCAGCAGACTTCTGGCAACATGGCTGGTCATGGAGTACCACTGCTTAGAGCCAAAACACAAATCCACAGACACAAAATCTGATCACAATCCTATTATCAGCAGGAACTCAAAAGCCCAACAAACTTTAAATATGACCTGCAATTCCAGTGAGGTACAGCTCTGGCAACAACAGCAGGCATAGCACCACATAAGCTTATACTTCTGTTATATTTAGTTCTATTAAGTACTTAATTATCACCTGAAAATAGTGAAAATAGGAAGCAGTTAGCCAGACAAACAGACATTGCTTTGGAAAAGATCAAGGTATATACAACAATAAAAGGAGTCGGCCTAGCTGACAATGCTGCTCTTTGGCTCTTCCACTGGAAAGAAAAATCACACAAAATGTATGCAGCAACAGCACTGAGAGAAGCAGCCCTGAACCAAAAAAGGCTTCAAAGCCTCAGGTATTAAAACAATCATAGAATAGAATCACAGAATTGTTAAGGTTGGAAAAGATCAAGTCCAACCATTAACCCAATGCCACCATGTTCACCACTAAACCACATCCCCAAGTGTCACATCCACAAGCCTTTTGGATACTTCCAAGAATAGTGATTCCATCACTTCCCTGGGCAACCTGTTCCAATGCCTAACCACCTTTTCAGTGAAGAAATTTTCCCTCATACCCAACCTAAACCTTCCCAGGTGCAACTTGAGGCTGCTTCCTCTTGTCCTGTCACTTGTTACACCTGGGAGAAGAGACTGACACCCCCCCCCCCCCCAATCTGGCTACAATCTCCTTTCAGGTGGTGTAGATCCATGAGGTTCCCCCGAGCCTCCTTTTCTCCAGGCTAAACACCCCCAGCTAGTCCCAAGCAGACTTGTGCTCCAGCCCCTTCCCCAGCTCCCCTGCCCTCCTCTGGACACACCCCAGCACCTCAATGTCTTTGTGTAGTGAGGAGCCCAAAACTGACCCAGGATTTGAGCTGTGGCCTCAACAGTGCCCAGTGCAGGGGGACAATCACTGCCCTGGTCCTGCTGGCCACACTATTGCTGACACAGCCAGGATGCCACTGGCCTGCTTGGCCACCTGGACACACCTGGGCTCATGTTCAGCCACTATCAAACACACACCCATTATGCTCAGACTGAAGTAAAATACAGACATATGCATACATAGATATATTCCCAAATGAGCTAAATTATCTTCTTTTTCAAGAGCTTCACCTCACCTCTTGTAGAGATCCTGCTCTGCAGCAGAGTCACTTGCCTTTGGTGGCTGAATTCCTAGAAAGGAGAAGAGAAACCTGTGACAACTAATAGTACTACAAATGTAGTCCTTCATCATATCATAAATTATTTTAGGAGAATTTTATATTATTCATCAAGAGAAAAAAAAAAGGTCAAGAAAGTTAAGTTTGATTGATAGAGTTTGAATTTATGAAACAGACACACCAACACCATCATTTTCAAACAGGCACACTGAATAAACCATGCTACAGAAAACTTCTATGTGAGGATATTAGCTCCTCAAACCCTTATATATACTGAAACATGAGCATGGTTGTAGACCTATTTTACATTTCCTTCCTCTAGTTCCAGTAAGCCTTCCTCTTGACCTCCTTCTCTCATTGTAATTAAAAGGGATTCCACAAGTGAAGATGAAATTATTTGATGCAGTTCAGGCCATCCATAAAGCTAGACCTACAGTCAGGAAAGACATAGGCTGACAGCAAACAAAACCCTAGAAGCAAAGGCCTAGTTCCCTAATGTCATTTTAGTCTGGATGCCTTAAACAAATCCACACTGCTGATATACATCACCAAAGTCTATTTGAGAACCAATAGAAATCAAATTGTTTTCTGACATGTAAAGAAAGACTTCACATACCAAGTTTAAATTTCAAAGTTCACAAACCAAGTTTTCATCATCCACTTAGCCAGCTGTGCTTAGACAGGTTATCTTTCCTGATGAGCTTCTTTCCAAAGAATAAAAAGCAGTCCTTCCCTCACCCATGCACAATATACACCCTGTGTATGCACAGCAGAAAACAAGGCAGCTTGCCAGAAACTAAAAGCAAAATATTTCTGCCTTGTTTATTGCACACTGATCTGAAATGCTAGAAGTGTTCACAGAGTGATACAGGCTAACTAAAGAGCTCCACTCACAACGGGGTAGCACTGAAAACTACCAGCATCCTCTGTGACAGGCAGTGGCAGCACCAGCCCGCAGTACCTGTAGGTCTGGGTTTCCCTTCTGCAGCCAGTGAGGACGGAGCTGTGCCATTGGATGCACGGGGAGATCTCTGGTTGTCCCTTCTACTTTGAGAGGATCCTTTCATCCGGTTCACTACATCTTCAGTGAGCTGAAACAGAACCAGCCAAGTCAGTTTCTGGTGTGTATTTCACTGAGACCCTCCTGGTTTGTTACCTCCCATGATGGCACAGAAGCACTGTCGGTTTCCTCATTGCAATGTCCCTCCAGTCCACACAGTCAGCACTTGCATGTTGACTTTACATTTTTAAAACCCATACCCTATCAGTAAGCGACAAAGTCTCCAATCTGCTGCCTGACCCTAAAAGCTTCACTAGACAATCATTCACAAACACCAACAAAGGTGGAGAGCACCCCTAAACAAGTCAATTCTTTGTATAGGGAAAAATTTACCAGAATGGGAAGGAAAGGAATTAAGCAGGTTTTAATCCATCTTTTCCTCTTCTTGCTCCATGCTTGCTAACCCAGCTCAGCATGGCAGACATGCTGCAACCCATATGACACACAACAGCCTCCCACCCACATAAGGCTGCAAACACTTCTGCAATCTCAACTTCATTTTCACGTCCTGACTTGGGTTCAAACCCATGAAAAAGAAAGAAAAGTTAACTTGAAGTTTTCTGGCAACTCAGTCCAAAAGGCTTTTCACAGCACTGTTAAAATTGACCCCTTCTTCCTGCCAAGGTCAGAGGGTCTGGCTGCAGAACAAAACCAAATGAGGCTGTTCCCCATCTATACTTGCCACAGTAGAAGACATATTTTCAGCTATACCACTACTACCCAACTTAATAGCATTTTTAGTACCATCAATTTACATTATTATCATGCCCAATTCCTAATTTTAAAGACACAAATCCTTGTCTATATCCTGTAAAGATAAATTAGGCAAAGAAAATTTTACCTCCATTAAATACTTTAACAAGTACTTACAAACAAGATAGGCACAATCTTAGTTAAGTTTTGTCAAATAATTAGTCAAAATGGGATGAAAAATAAGCAGGCACAGCAACACTCTGAAAGTTCATTTCTGGCAGATTTTAGGGAGAAATCACATGAAAGGATCATGAAGCAAGAGCGATGAAAATGATGGTAGTAATTAAAAAAAATACATACATACATATATATATATATATATATATATATATATATATATAAACGGGAAAAACTATTCCTTAACGGTAGCACCACCACTCTCTAGGGCTTATTCCCACAACACACACTTGTCAATTTCGGACCGAAGGTGCAGAAGCAGCTCCCACTGTCCGTGCCAGGAACATCCCCGTTTCCAGGCTCCCGCCCGCCCTGCTCACACAGCGAGGCTGTGCCCGGCACCGTGAGCAAGGGCAGAGCTGTGTCCTGGGCAGAGCTGTGTCCTGGCTGCCCTCAGAGCATCACGCTGCTCGCACAGCACAACCGAGCTCACCAAGCAGCGAGGAGAGAACCAGGGTTGAGAGCAGAGCTTGGAAGTGAAAATAAAGAGCTGCCGTCCCCCCGCCCGACAGCAGCCATGCCCAGGCCCCCAGCCCTCTTTCTCGCCACTCTCCCCATCACTTCTCCACCCCCTCCTCCTTCAGCCTTCCCGGTGTCCCTCCCCTCCTCCCTGCTCCCCCACTCCTTCCAGCGCTGCACCGCGCTCCGCTCACCTCCCGGCCGGAGCCTTCCGCAGCCCGGCTCCCTCCGCCCCCACGACACCCCCGGGCGCCTCACCCTGATGCCCTGCAGCACCCGGACCCGCTCCCGCTCATCCAGCCCGAAGGACACCCTCCTGCCGCCCTGGCTGCTCTCGCTGCCGCCCATGCCGCCCGGGGTCGCCCCGTCCTCGCCGCGCCCCTCTCCCGCACCGGCTGCCAGCAGCGCCTCTGCCCTGGCAGCGCCTGCCAATATACCCGTTCCCCATTGGCACCGGCCGCGGGGCGGCCAATAGCGCGGCGCGGTGCTAGCGGCCGGGCGCGGGGCACGCTGGGGGATGTAGTTTGGAAGCGCAGGGCACCGAGGCGGCTCCGGGACAGCGGAGACTGCCGCTCCTGTCCCGGTGAGCCCGTCCTCATCGCCGCCCTGGCACTGAACGCGGCACCAAAACTGCCCGCACAGCTTCACTGCTACACGTCCAAGGCACGGCGCTTTGCCGAGCTGAGGAAGGATGACCTCTCGTCAGGCACAGCAGCAGCGCTGGGAGCGGAATTCACCCCCGCTCCTCGCAGCCAGACCGTGCCGCCACCTGCCCGGACACACACCGGTGGGTCCTGTAAAGATAAATTAGGCAAAGACAATTTTACCTCCATTAAATACTTTAACAAGTATTTACAAACAAGATAGGCACAATCTTAGCTAATCGGTCAGGCCACGGCTGATACAGTCCCCGTTGCCAGGCATGGCTGATCCAACAGCCTAAACAGAAGGAATGAGATAATGCAACACACAGGCAGCTGAACCAAGAAATAACAGCTTTGGAGAATCTTTTTCAAACAAGCTTTCTGCATTCCCAGAAATACGGGCCAGTTGGTATCAATGTGCTACTTATCTACTCAGCCCACCACTCCTCAGTAGTGCATGGGAGCAGTTTTAAGTGTTTAATGCATATTCCTCACTGCGGTTGATGTGGCAACCAGAGCTTTGCCTCAGTTGGACATGGGCCAACGTTAAGGGAGTATCTGGGACTCTTCACCCCCTAAACCCCTCTGGATATCCAGGTCTCTTCTAGAGCACATTCCTGGAAGTAGGGAATATTTTTGTTAATTGTGCAGCACCTCGTACACTGGAATCAGCCCATTGCTCGGGCTCTCAAGACAAGGGCACTGCATTGTGCGGTGTGAGCTGCCTGCACCCCAGGAACACCTCACCAGCCAGGCAAGAGCACAGGGGTGCCTCAAGCTCCCTCACCCACCTCCTGCTCATTTCCTATCTGCCACCTGCTCACTCCATTTGATGGTACCCGATTTTTGCACTGAAAGAGCCCATGAACAGATAGTCCTTACTCACCTCGTCTGTCCTCTCCAAGGATTTCACAGGCCTGCACCACTGCTCTTCCAGGCTGGTGAGTTCTCAGCCATGTGATTACCCCTCCAGAAGTCCTTCCTTAACTGTGATTACTCCTGTCATCCTTCCCTAAGCCTTTCCAGGTGTACACTCCCAGCCAGGTGGCAGACATCACCTGCAAAGATCCAGGAAGGCCAGTTGGCAAAGGCAAACAAAGCCACATCACACCTGTGCTCATGCCTTTCTGCCATTTTTTTAAAAATCTTCAAGTTATTTTTCCTCCCCAGTATGTCTCATTTGAGAAATAAAGCATGACCATTTATGCCAAACTTATTTTTATTTATTTTACAAACAAAAATATACATTTATTCTATACTTTCTCTCTTTTTACCACCCCCCACATGTAACACACTTTGCTCAAGAACCACTTTAAGATGGCCCAAAGCATTGTATATACATAAATACATAACAGGAGGAAGGTCAGTCCATGACCTAGTGCAGAAGCTCCTCAGCAGCAGAACATGGAACATTCCAGAAATTCTGGAGTCCTGCCAGCAAAGGACAGGATGGATGTTGACAACCTGCACAGGTGATCCTTCAGCACTGAATTCAGATGGTAAAAAAGGTAAATTCATAACAGGCTCTTCACATCACCAAGGAGGGCAGGTAATTCCTTTCACTTAGGGTGTTGAAAGCCAACAAACACTCCTTGGGCTGGAAAAGCAGTTGCTCCTTTAGTTCTCAACTGCTTTGTAATCTTCATCTCTCTTGACTCTGTCCAAGGCCCAGGGAAGCTTTGCAGGCTCCCTCACCCTTTCTAACCAACAGCAGCTCAGGATCAGTGTTGTGAGCAGCACTGGGAGCAGCAGCACAGCAATTCAGGCATCACATCACCCATCCCTTTACAGCAAGCAGCCCAGCATGGCTCAGGCCAGCTAACAGCAGTGACAGAGGAGCATGCAACACTTCTCTAACGTGACAAGGGCTGCCTTGGCCAGCTGCCTTGTCCAGCCCTTGCAGTCATTGCATGAAATGGAAATGTGAAAGGCTGTGACCTACAAGAAACTACTCACTCCTAGTACACAGACAGATGGAAGTCTTTTTTCCCCAGAAGTAAATAAAAATAAAAAAGGGGGGTGAGGGGTTGGGTGGGTTGGAGCATTATTTGTTTTCAAGGTGCCAGTGCTACTTAGAGGCCTGCAGGGAATAGTACCCAGGCAGACAGAGAAGCTGCATTGCTCATTAACGAAATAAGATAAGCAAAGGCCTGCATAGTTTTGGCAACCAATATGAACTTCACATTCTTACCCATGTTTTCTTTCCCTGTGGTGGGAACACCTGGTAGCAAACACTGTCCTCTGCCTCCTAATGATCCAAACCAACACCTCCACACTGCACCTTGCTTACTCTTACCTTAGGATTCTTCAGGAATAGAAGTAAGTTGGGGCAAGAGATTCACACAGTCCCCAAACACTGCAAGTTCCTTTTTTCTACCATCCCTAGAGGGAAACTGCTTACACCAGATCTCCACCTACCTGGTGGACTCGGGTAGGAAAGCACCACCAAATCTAGAGGAATACTTCATCCTTGGAAAGCACAGGATATCCCAGAAACCAGACTGATGCAGCCTTTATGTGAACAGTCATTGGATTGGAACACCATGTCTTGAAACTGCATGCCAGACAGCTCAGACAATAGAGTCCCTCTTCCAGCATGGAAAAGGTTAATAAGAAGTTCCAGGAAGTCTTTAAAAGGACCACTCCCCACATGCACATAAGCATTTTCAACATACTGAGCCATAGAACTTACTGAGAGCAGCAGCAGTCTGGGGATCTGAACTGCAATGTAAGGGAAGGACACTGCCAGAGATACACATCCAGCTCCCACTCTTCTCCCACTGCAGCACACCAGCCAACTCAATTCTAGCACACCTAAGGCGTTTGAGTTTCCAGTCACTAAATTCTGACAGCTCAGACTCATCATAGGCTTCTGCTCTGCCTCAAGCACCTGAATGTCTCTGGAGCCTTCATCTGCAGAGCCACCTTCCTCCTTCACAGCACTCTCCGAGCCCCTGCCAAAGGCACGAAGCAGGGTGCAGATGGAAAACACACCTACCTCACAGGTTTTACTCTTGAGCTCATCCCTGATTCAGTGTTCTTACTTAGACTTTCCTTTGAGCTCAAATGCACAGCACTACAGCCTCCAGAGACTGGTTCACAGCTCCTTCAGCTCAGCTAGACAGCAGCACTGCTTGTCCTTCTGTCTCCCTCCTGTTCAGTCACTTCACATCCCCACTGTGAGCTACCAGCCTTCCCCAAAATGTTCTCTGGGCACAGAGAACAGTTCATTCCTCTTCATACCTCTTTTTCCCCATACACTGAGAACATTCCTTTTAACCACTAGCAACTCCAACTCACAATTTTCAACTGTGTTAGCTGAAACCAAGGGTGAGCCCCAGTGACCAGCTTCCCTCATCAGACACTATCACCACCTGTGCTGTTGCATTATGGCAAGGTGCAGGCAGCCATGCCGCTTAGCCCAAGAAGATCATCTTTGGTTTCAACCACCAAAATCTTTCTATATATGTACAATACAGCAGTCAAATCAGCACCCTCATTCCTAAACATCATTGCTGTAAGTGAGAAACAAGTGCTTTCAGTCACTGAAAAGGAAGAGGTGCCAGCCAGGACTATCTTCTGGGTCATATTCACATCAGGAACGTGGAGGATCAGGAAAGTTCAGTGTTTAAAGATTTATGAACAAAACCACTCTACATTGTTCTCATGTAGCAACAGAAAGTGTTCTTCCCAAAAGGGTTTGGGCTGCCAACTTAGTGTCACAATAGGTGTTGGAAATCCTAAGGACAAGAGGAAAGCCATGGCAGGTAGCCAAGGACAGGTTTCCAGTGGACATCCGAGCAGCTGCGGTATCAGGGAGTTTGGAAGAAAGAAAGGAGGATCACATGTCTGAGGTGCCCGGCCTCAGGCATTGATGGATTTCCAGCGGTCACTGTCTATGCTGTTGATGCTGCCCACGTGGTATGGCATAGAGGCCACGTCGTCCAGGTAGGCTGTGGTGTCAATCTGAGTGCTCGAGTAGAACCCAGAATCCATTCCTTCCTTCTTGGCAACAGCGTAAGGGTGGGGTAGGTGCACATCCACGTCCTCAGGTTCATCCACCTGGCATTTGTAGGAGAAAAGGATCTTCGGTTCAGACCTGGAGTGATGAAAGATTTAAAATGCATGTGTTACCAATGTGGTATCACAGCTACCTATCCTTAATTGAAACTCATCAATGTTAAGAAATTGTGCATTTGGACCTCAGACACTCTTTAAATGAGCTTTTGGTCTAGAAATTTGTGGCAGAGTAACTGCCATAAAGTAATGCTAAATTAAGCTTTGGATGAAGTCACGTAAGAGAAATACAAACGGCAGAATCCTGACTCTGCTGTGGGAAAAGAGTTCTCATCTTCAGGAGCCTTGAATTACTGAGGGCAACAGCACCCAAACACTACTGAACTCCACAACAGCCTGGCTACTGACACAAAAATGAGTCAGAACAGGAGTACACTTCACGTTCTACCTGTGCACATCATGAAAACCAAATACAAACACTTGTAGATCAGCAGTTTTCATCTTTAACTCCAGACAATGTTCCCTTCTAACTTCAAAGGGATGCAGAGGTATATATTTATATTTTAAAAGCACTTTATCTTCTCAGTTATTTTAAAACCTGCTATTTCTCACTAATGACCGACAAATACTAAATCCCACGCCGAACCACTCATTTTCCCACCAAGGTGCAGTTCCTGCGAGTGGCCACACGGCGGCGGCCTCGGCCTGAGAATCGCCCTTCCCGGCTTTTCACCAGCGATGTTTGGGCCCACGGGGAGTCCTCAGCCGAG